AATATCATCCAAAATCTAAAATATAAAGATCAAGGGAGCATACAACTGCTCTATATAAGAGCTTATGATAAAATGATAGATTTATTAAATTTACTTGACACTATAGATGTCATAGTGTTCTATGATTATAACACAATGTATAGTACAAATGTGAGCAATGATAATATTTTAACAAAACATAGACATTTAACACATTAAACACCTATTTTCACGGTTCTTTTCTCTTAAAATAATTTTCTGGCCACAAGCACTTATCGAATTTCTTCTCTACCATTTACTCTTCTATTATATACCTTCGAAAGAGAGAAAAAAAAGAACCAACCATTTTGTGCCCATTTTTTACCTTCGTTTCATTGCTATCGTAATTTCCCATTTCAATCATTTATCGATTTAAACGTATAAACGAAACCGTGTTATTTTCAGAAAATTATTTCAACTATTATCGTGTATTATGGTTACACGAAATGATAATTATAAACAATTCGATTACGTGCACAAAAAATCATTCGAAAACGATCTAAAGAATATAAGGCGAAAAGACTACAATGTCTATGATAATTACAATAAACTGCATTTAATTATAATTTTTTTTTTTTCATTTCATTTCGAGTAAAAACAAAAATGTTATAAATGTTTGAAGAGAATGAAATAAACCGACGAAACCGAATACACAAAACATAAAAGATCATAAACTGGCGATCATTTGATTGTGTGCGTGTTTCTATTTATGTTCAATTCTATAATGAAAATGTAAACGCACACGAATTAGACATCTAAACGAAATGTTTTTTTTTCTTCTTTTTGGTTTTTTAAATTTGAGTAGGTTAGTATCTGAGTTGAATGTTAAAACACTTACATCACATTTAGCGTGTCTATTTAACAGACATAAATAATAGTTGAATTTGTTATAATTTACCTACTTAGCAGGGCACATACAAGAAACACCTTAACACACATCCTAGACAATTATTATGGATACACACAATGATCGAATGTGTGTGTGTGTTTTTCTGTGTACGTCGTACATATTCAAATGAGCCACGATATATTGACCAAGATCATATATGACTGAAGACGGTGTGTTCTGGTCATTTAATTTTTATGAAATGTCTAAGGTTGCATTTTTTGGATATCAAAAACTGAATCCACACAATCGCATGTATAAATGTATATATATGCATATAAATGATCTTACGTCAAGATTAATTCTACGCCATTTCAACTTGAAATGTATAATGACATTTTTTATAGTTTTCATATTTTCGGTCGTTACGTTTTACATCGTTCGACGTGATGCATTTCAACAGATATCAAGCATTCTGGATGCAAATAAACAATGTTCAAGTATCTGTAGTCTTATTTTTTTTTTATAACCACCGGCAAATCGTATACTTTGTTGCGTCTTGTAAAAATGTTGCCATGCACGTACTGTTTTCGTTGTATTTAAATTTATCATTACTTATTCATTTAAATAAGACATTGAATCCGGTTTGAAAATCATATGAAAATGTGAATTTTTCATATAAAAATGTGTATTACAAGCACATTTGAATGACTTCAGTCGTCATATCATTTCGTTTTCGAACTTTCATACGATGTTAGTTTAAACGTATTTATAGTCTTTATAATTCGTTGTTGTTGTTGTTGCTTCGCTTTTAAATGAATATAAATAAATGTGCACTTCAATAAAATCACACCTGTCTTGATTATTTCCATCATTATTTGGCCCAAGCCCAAGTCAAAAGAAACAATATAATTGTGTCGTACGATAAGTGGCTGAAATGTTGGAAACGCTTTAAGCACACTTGAAACCCGTTCAGCAATATTATATGCGCCCAGGTTCAATCATCGAGACTTTGGGTGTGTGTGTGTGTTTTGAACATTTTTGATTCGAATTTCATTTCAATGTTTTAATGTGACTGTACAGTCATTTAATGATCTACATTTGTATTTACATTTTTGGTTATCATTTTCGAATTTCATGGATCATAATCTGTCTGTCTGTGTATAAAATATAAATCGGTTAACCTATATCTCTCAATAATTCATTTGATACTCAAGACTTCATTATTATGAGTAATAATATGCGTAAATTCACTATCGACCGCCCCAGTGTTCGTGGTTTCATCTTAATGATGAAGTCGATGTTTTTTCTTCTTCGTATTATTGCTCTCTGGCATTTCTTTATTGCTCTTTCACATCATCTCTTTTTCGCTTAACCAAGCGAAGAATGAAATCTATGCGTCACATTGCTGTTACTTTATTTTCACGGATTTCTCCAATCAAAAGCATCACAACGAGCAAAATATGAAGAAGAAGAGTATTTTAAACTCAAGTCATCGTTAACATTTATTTGTCTACCACAAACAAATTACCTTTTATACGTATGTTAACCTCGTATCGTAATACATAGCAACGAAGAAAAAAAATTGAACGTATTACATCGTCTGTGCCCACCGCGAGAAAAAACCCATAACGAAGTGATCAAATCGATCTGTTTCTAGTGCTAACTAAGATTTCTATGGGTTTTTTTTTTTTTTCGCTTGTCGCCCAACCAGCGCTGTTTTTTTTTCTCTCGTTTCCATTCCGCTCTGAACTTTAGTTCATTTTCAACAATATAATAATCATATTTTCCCGTTTGAACGCAAAAGTAATGAATGCGCTGGTAATGCAATTAAAATTCTTTCGATTACCCCAGCTCCCTTTATCTTCGTTTTTTCACATTGTTTTTTTTATATACACAATTCTCACAAAGCTGACTTTTCATGTGAACTGAACAGCGTTAATACATTTCCAAGCTGACCAATGGTTCAAAACAATCACCATCTTCTGGTCTTTTGTTTTGGAAAAAGAACCGATTAGAACCGGTATATCAGTTCATACGATTCGATTTAGAAGTTTAACCCATGTAATTTGGTTCAGTTCATAGTATGTGATTTGTCTGCCTTTTTTAAATTTTCATACTTAAAAAAAATGCTCATTAAATTTATAACCATTATTCAGCATTGTATATGATTTAGAAACCACCAATATAGTTGGTCTTATTTTTACTGGCAGCAAACTGAATATCACACATATTGTTATTTGATTACCAATGCACCCCAATATGATTGTGACATATCAATATTTTGGCTTATTGCAGTTGATCTTAGTTTTTATTTTCGAAATTCAACCGAAAATATCAAACAAAGTCATCAGTCTGAAGTGAAACGATGATATGAAAGAAACAAACAAAACGAACACTTGAGAATGAAGAAAAAAACCGTCTAATTCATTTGAGCGCGTAAAACATACACAGAAGCACATTATTTGTCAATTGAAACACATAAAAGGTGAACAATGTTTGCTTAAACGCAGACTTAAAAACGATCTTTTTATCATTGCTTTTTTTATACTTTTAAGTCACTTGTAATGATAAACAAGTACAACAAAGGCAACTAAACACAGTTCAACACAGTGAATTGAACAAAAATCAACACAGCAAGGAGGAAAAAAACTGTATTATCTCGATTATACTTATGTGAGCAATCGCGCGCTTTTCGGAATGGAATACAAACTGATTTTCCTTTTGTGCCATAGCATAGCAAATGCGCATATTCAAATATCTTGAATCTCTTCAAATATACTATAAAATGTATATACGAAGTGCACCAACTGTGACACGTCCGCTACTAAACTTCGCTTGGATCCGCGAATAAACCAAACGAAATAAGCTAGTTAAGTGAAGTAGGCATGTAGAACATATCTCTTTGTCGTATTGCTCTGGTGGTGTTGTTGTCGTCATCATCATCATCTCGACGTAGTTACAATCATTTTTTTTTAGTCTTCTTCTCTACTTTATTCACTGATTAAAATTCATGGTTCAGCTTCTAGATGCTGCCTGCTATAAGCATTGTTGAAAGTAAAATCATTTAAAAAAAAAAAACTTTTTTTTCTATACCGCATACTGTGAGTGCGCCCAAAACATGGCCATGTTTTATATATTAATCACACCACAACTTGTTTGTTGGCACTGTTTGCTATAATTTTTTTTTCGTGTGTAGTCTTTATGAATGCTGATGCATTTAGGTGAATAATCAAACAACAAATAAACGTTCATGCGGTCGCTCAACAGCGAAATCTGATAAATTGAAAGATTCTGAATCATACAATGTTTCAATGATAACGCGACAACGAAATAGTTGGATAAATGAACGAGAGAAGAAGAAAAAACTCACACACACACACACACCGATGTATTTCAGACGTAAACGCATAAATTAAAAAATGATATTACAACGAGTTATATGCGAATGCTACAAAAAACGAACAAGTAAAATGGAAAATTTGTCAATGTGTGTGTGTGTGAAAGAGAGATAGATGAATAGTTATATAAAAACTATCTGATCGTAGAAACACGAAGCCATCAGAAGGTAGCAAAGCGGTTTGCCAGCAAGCGCCTGACATTCCAACACACAGTGTACAGAATCGAAACGGGACAAACAGCGTGTTTCGAGTGAACATTGCATGCGTCGTTGAAAAGGCATAGTCAAACAAAATACATCCATATTTAATATCGGTAGCCTCAAAAAAATTATCTCATTTTATGATGTTCCATGCCATAAAGATTCTTCTCCTTAATACGTTTTAATAATGTGCGATACGAATCGTCATAAAAAATAAAAAATAAATATGCGATATGCTAGATAGGCCGACAGAATGAATATGAAAAAAAAAATAAATTCGAAATAAAACACGAGAAAAAGCAACAGGGCCAAAAATGTAAACATGTGAATCGCACAATCGTCGAAGTTTGAGTGAAAAAATTTCCAACACGAATACAATGATGCATCATAATAGGTGAAATATATGCAACGCAATGATAAATCAGTTATTATCAGTTGGACATGAACAAACGTTATAAATGGGCAATCAATAATTTTTGGCTTTATTTTTTTTTTTAATAATTCGTAATTGCAGCATATTTTTATCTGATTGATTTCTCTTTTCTTTTTACGTAGACATCCACTATTTCCTCTGCTAGCATTAGTTTTTGAAAAATGTGAACTAGCAACATGTACACCCAGAGATCCAGGTGCTCAAGGTGCTGATGTATGTTCGTCAGAATCCTTCAATGAAGACATAGCAGCATTTAGTAAACAGGTAAGTTCAATCGATATCATTTTTTTAAAAAGAAAATAATCATCCATCGATAATTGAAATCATTCACATTGTTTTTGTGCAATCAAAAACCAGATTTAACGTGAAAAAAAAAACCATCAACATTTCAAAATTGTTCGATTCGCAATCAATAAATTGATTGATAAAAAACAAATCTTTTTCAACGACCTGATATTGTTTGTTTGTTGTTTTCCTTCCAATCGTTATTATCGGCTGTTTGCTTAATTCAGTTATTATGATTTAATGTTTAATTGAATACACATTGAAATTAAAAATTTCTTTCGAGAGATCGGCATAAATATTTGTTGAATTCGATCATCTGTCTTAATTGGCATGCTCTTAAAAAAGTGACACACCATCATTTCGCATAAAAATGATTCATTTAGTATCCGTGTGCAAACACATTTCTAATAAAATGAAAATAGTGTTATTTCACGTTTCGTTGCACACCTCTCATCAAAGACACACCTCTGCAAGCAAAGCGATTCCATTGCAAATCTCATTCGCATTTCAATTCGTTTGTCACGTGCGGTGCAACACACATTCCAAGCATCTTCGTTCAATGTTCATTGATCGCTTCTGTTTCAAGTTATATTGCTATTTCAAATTCAACATCGCACAAACTCATTTACATTTACTTACTTAACAATTGCTGCTACTTACGTTTAACGCCTCTATTTACAAATTAAACCATAAAAATCGCAGCCATATCATGGATTTAATTTACTTTACCACACTCTTTTTTTTCGGTGTGTACATACAAAACCTGATTGTGTTTCAGTAGCAATCAAACAATTTATTTCTTTCGGCTATACGGGGCATATGAAGTAATTAAAGGAAGCAATGTGTAACCAAAAAAAAAATTTATGTTTATTTGAGCCGTTCATTGAAATCGCGTTCATAAAAAAACCGAATTCTCTCAAAATGCGTCGTTTCATCGTTATCTATTAAACAACAATATTATCAAACGTCAAATACACGAAATCTAACTTTATTAAAGTCAAATGTTGAGATCGTCTATGGTGTATTATCTAATTTCAAAATCAAAAGTGAGATACTATATATATATAATTCACTGTTGTTCTATTATGTGTCATGGATTTCGTTGGCGTTTATATTTCGGTTCCCCGAAAAAAAAACCAACAACATACATGTTGTTTGTCCAGGGCCATTCGAGCAATTGTCTATTTAAGACTTCAAAGATGATAAAGAAAATATGCGTTATCACAAAGCGCGCGCATACACACATAAATACAATTCAACCACGAATATATCGTAATGATAAATTAATGTAATTTTACCTTATACCGAATTTCTGTATGTGTGAGTATGTGTTTACATACTTTGTTTACACAATGTTCTGGCTTAAAAAAGAAAAAAAAAGAAAAAAAATTCCTCACAGAGCACCAAATTCATGATTTTGCCATTCAGTTGTGGCAATATTTGCCCGCTACCATATCGGCTGTGTCCTATTTACCTTGAAGTTGTGTGCCTTATACATGGTTGTTGTTTTTTTGTTTTCAACAGGTAATGAATATCAACCACGGATATAACGTGTGGTGTTCGTGTGTTCGTCACCCAAATATGACGATGATGATGATTAACAGGCCAACAAGCCACAGTGTTATGAATTTGTTGAACGTGCATGTCATGAGACTGCAACTCAATCCAAGTATTAAAAGAATAACATCAACAATACCTTGTTGTTTCGTATGTGAAATGGACGCAGTTTTATGGTCTCAACTTTCTTCAATTTCCACTTTGATTTGCCATAATTTGTTGCCGTTGAATTTGTTGTTGGTATTTGTTATTGTTGTTGTATGCAAATGGATAAATAATTATAGCTGTTTCAGTGACGTTGAAATGCCATTTAAAACATTTATCTTTGATAATGAGGTAAAAATTATACCGTTCATTTTTCGCTGTAGAGACTTATGTTTTTAAAAAGTCTTAAAGTGTATGCCGTCAAAATGGTAACGGTTTGTGTGGCAAACGGTGTTTAAAATCGATTGAAACGTGAACCCTCCACGACTGGATTTGCATTCAAATGTAACTTTTGGAAAATTTTCAATTTTCTCTAGAAACTCAAACGAAACCCACACGCACACACGTTTTTATTCCATTGACTCGCCTGCTTCTATCGCCATTTCATTTTCCTTCTTGCATTCAAATAAATAAATAATACAAGCACAAACGCACGTAATCTATTTGACTGGTATCGTCTGAATTTAGCCTAAAAAAATCATGTTTCTATTTTCCGAAGACAAGATACATAAACAAATGGTACAATGCACCAAATAACGGTTGATTTTCACAATCGTCTCGTCGATACGATGGCGTTTATAGAGGCGAACATACTTTCCAGCATGTGCGTTAAAAGACTGTGTGTGTGTGCCGTTTTCAGTGTGTTGTTCTTTCATGGTTGAGCATACTAAATGCCATTCACGGCTTAAGTGCAATTACTATTAACTTTGATTCACCCCTTTTTTATGTTTATGTCGCTAACTCGTTCGCTTCCAATCCTTACATTAACTAAAACACGTGATTCGTTGTGCCGGCGAACGTGCATTTATTGTGCGGCAAAGCATGAACATTGAACGAGATGCTTTCCTTTCTCCTCGTAATTTGTGTATGTGTCGGAAAGTTTGGGTCTGATTGTTATTATTATGCGTTTTTCTATACTGTTGACTGCTGCGATTAGTGTTTTATGTACTCGTGGTGCTCTACTCTGCTTTGTCGGCGGTAGTCCATCAATACCGGAGTGAAACGTTAATGGATTCTTGATTTTAAAATTCGATTTAATTTACTCTTACTCTCTCTTTCTCGCTCTCTCTCTCTCCCTCTCTTTCTCAATTTCGATCTATCTCGCTTTTGCCATCATTTACGTTCGGCCTCACCGTCACTTTTGGTTCTCCCTATGACTCGCGCAGCTCATACAGGGATAAGCACGTAACTATAACAAACGTGGTTTGCATTCATCTAGATAGATTTTCAGACACAATACATAATTTAATTGCTAAACAATATGCCAACAGCATGACACAATTTAGATTAGAATGTGCGCTGTATGTATTATGTGCAGTTCAATGTAGCAGCAGGCGTAAACTGTTAACCAAATGAGACAATTGAATTTCTCTCGCATTTATTTGTTGCTGCTGGTTTTCTCTCCTCTAATCCGATTGTGATGGTTGTTTTTGTACACATTTTGTCTGACTGCTCATTTGGAGGTTGAATCTCTGCTCGTATTAGCATTGAACTTCAAGGAATTATGTCAGCTTTTGGAAATAACGTCACATTGTGTTGTCGTTGTTGTTTTTTTTGCACCAACCACGCATTACTTGATCCCTATTGATCGAATAGTCAAAATTGCTTTAGATTATCGTTGAATGCATTCAGCTGATGCACACAAATAGCATGTGCTGCGACATTATGTGGAAAATTGATCAAGTGTAAGAGCAATTTTGAGGCGAACGCATGTGTTATAAATTGTCTTAATAAAATGATGAATGATTTTCAATCATTTGTTCTTGCTATTCCTTCTTCTTCCGGTCCCTTTTCCACGCCGTCCAATGAACATTTCGTTTTGGTTTCAGTGTATGCATGTTGCGCTGCATACCATGGAATGACATGTTCGCTTTGCCCGTGCATTTTCTTGCTTTGCTTTCATCAATTTTTTTTTCGCCTATTTCACAGTGACTTTTTATCAAACCAACAAATCTTATCTCTCGAACAGTAACCCAATATTTATGGACGCGAAACGAAATGTTGTTGTTGATGTTGTTTTTTTTTTTTTTCACAATATTTCAACGGATATGCATACAATGGTTCTCGGTCGTTGTCAGTTTCATTTGATTCTCCTATTTTTTAAAATAAGATTGTTGAAGAACATTTGTGTGTACCGTGCACTTGGGTACGCGATCAGATTGGGTCACGACAATAGCTTCTATGTATGTATGAAAGAAGCAAACCTAGAAACAGCAGCAACAATAACAACCAGCAATGCCAAACATATGAAATATTTCAATTTTCCTCAATATAAATAAAGATTGTATGTGTGTTTTTGTTTGTGTCGCTTAATGATTGAGTGCCGCGATATGGGTATTTGGTAATTCGTTCGTCATTTGAATTTCCTCCTTTTCATTCGAATTCGAACAACAACAGCAGCACAAAAGAACAACGACAGAGGGAGAAAGAAAGAAAGTGAGAGGAAACGGAGCTAATATGCTTGTGGTGGTACATCAAAAATAGAAACCACACAGTATGCGAAACAGCATGCAATGAAATATATTTTTTTTGTTCGATTGTAGATGTGTGAATGCTGAGCTTAGCCTTAAGTTGAGAGAATTGGTTTAAAAACTCGTATAAATTTCTGTATCGACACATCTGACTAAATGTGTCAGATTGTGTCAGTCGAAGAGTACGAAGTGAGAACCGAAAGTTTTTCTATTACGTCTATATATATAAAATCCCTTTTTTTTCTCGGTGTATCTTTATTTAACTGTGTGTTTTTTTGACGCACGCATTTTTGATGCGATATTCTCAAACATTTGGTTGAAATCAGACGTCATTTCGTGAACAACGCCAACCATCATTATAATTTCTCTTGGACCGTTTTGTTTCTTCATTTCCATTTCACATTTTTCACACATCACACAATATCATTAGAGCGCGCATCCAAAATAATTTTTCCTCATTCGAAAAACCTCCTAGTCTTCACATTCGGCTTGGTTACCTTTTTTTTCTCTATACTTTCAGAACCTTTCTAAATTTAGTTTTTTTTTTCATGTTTTTTCTTCGATATTCAAATGTATCATAAGTGCTGTTCAGTTCAGTTTTTTTTCTCTCACTTTTCTGCTAATGCTGTGCATGATACAGATGCATTGATTCATGTCGGAATATACAAACAAATGCTTTAAGCAACGGCCTTATACAGAGGAGACGAAACGATTTCAAAATGTAAATTATTAGTGAAGAAGAAAAAT